ACCTACTGAGTTCATGAAACAGACACTCACTCATGTGACATGGCTTCAGATATCTACAGAACACTTTCATTTTTTCTTTTGTTTGTTTCTTTGGCTTCTTGTAGCAGAGCTTTTATTTTCCTTTCAACCAACATTTCTACCTTATAAATTCCCTGTTTTGGTTTTAGACAGAATAGGAGTGAGCAGTATGTACTTGTTCCTTCGTGTTTGTGAGCAATGTGTTCTAGGCTTCCATGTATGTTAAAATCTACAAGGATCACATGCTCTATGCAGACAGCCCAAATAAGCATATTCTCTCCAAAACCCATCTGAAGGGCTTTCCAGCAGGCTTGAGCATGGCAAACACAGGTTTTGCCCTTTTATCCCTTTCCTTCTCCCTTGCCAAAAATCATTAGATTACATTCCTAAAGTCAGTTCCCAAGGTCCATTCTTTTTTTTTGCCACTGACTCATACCTGAGACAAAACACCAAGGTCCAACAATGAAAATTCAGTATTTAGCTTACACATTCAAGTAGGATTTATCAACTCACCTTAGGATAGATTCCCAAGTTTTCTTCTTAAAAATTCACTCCTTGGGGCATGCTTGCTACCTAGTCTCTCTGGGACTGTGGATTGTGGGTTATCCTATACTTTTCTCCTAATAACCATCTATGAGTGAGTACATACCATGTTTGTCTTTCTGGGTCTGGGTTATCTCACTTGGGATGTTTTTTCTAGTTCCATTTGCCTGCAAATTTCATGTGGTCATTTTTTTTACAGCTGAGTAGTACTCCATTGTGTAAATGTACCGCATTTTCCTTATCCATTATTTGGTTGAGGGACATCTTGGTTGTTTCCAGGTTATTACTAATAATGCTGCTATGGACATGGTTGAGCAAGTGTCCTTGTGGTATGATTGAGCACCCTTTGGGAATATGCCCAAGAGTGGTGTCGATGGGTTTTGAGGTAGATTAATTCCCAATTTTATGAGAAATTGCCATGCTGATTTCCAAAGCAGTTGTACAAGTTTGCACTCCCACCAGCAGTGGAGGACTGTTCCCTTACTTCACACCCTCTCCAACATAAATTGCCATCAATGTTTTTGATCTTAACCTTTCTGACAGGTATAAGGTGGTATCTCAGAGTCATTTTGATTTTCATTTCCCTGATGACTAAGGATGCTGAGAAATTTTAAAAATTTTTTTATTTACTTTAATTTTTTAAATCTTACATACCAACTATAGTTCCCCCTCTGCCCCTCTTCCTGTTCTCCCTACTACCCCCACCCAACCCCCATCTGCTCAACTAGGCCCTCTGATTGTGGATGATAATTCTGTGGCTTGGGCTGTCTGCAGAGCCACTGGCAGTGAGACTAAGATTTATTCATAGTGCTTGAACTAACTTTTTGGAGCCTATTCCTGAGCCTCAGCCTAGATACAGTGCAGGGAGGGGCTTGGTCCTGCCTCAACTTGATATGCTGAACAATACTTTAAGTGTTTTGGGGTCCTTTGAGATTGTTCTGTTGAGAATTCCATGTTTAGATCTGTAGCCCATTTTAAATGGGATTATTTGGTATTTTGATGTCTAGTTTCTTGAGTTCTTTATATATTTTAGAGATCAGCCCTCTGTCAGATGTAGGGTTGATGCCAATCTTTTCCCACTCTGTGGGCTGCCATTTGTCTCATCGGATTTCCCTGGGAAGGGAAGTAGAAAAGTTCTCCTGGGTAAACTGGGGTGAGGGCTTTTTGAGGACAGAGGGATGGGAACTAGAGGGAGCTGGTTGGGCAGGTTGGGAGCATGAGGCAGGTTGGGGGTAGTATGGGGAGAGTAAGAAAAGAGATGTCTTGACAGACAGGTCCCTTTGGGGGTTAGGGAGAAACCTGGTGCCAGGGAAACAGCCAGGCACCCCCAAGGATGACCTCAACTAAGACTCCTACCTATAGGAGAGAGGGTTCTTGAACTGGCTATCTACTGTAAGCAGGCTGGTGACTTTTATAATTGCCATCAGAGATACTCTATCCAATAATGGATGGAAGCAGAGGCAGACAAGCGCTGCGCCGAGTCTTCTGCAAGAAATGGAGGAGAGATTGTACCAGTCAGGGGAGTTATGATAGAGAACCTATAGAGACAGCTGACCTGAGTCCCAGGAGCTGGACCAACAGTCAGAGAGCCTTCATGGGACCGATATAGGCCCTCTGCACGTGTGTGACAATCCTGTAGCTTGGTCTCTTAATAAAACTTCTAACAGTGAGAGCAGGATCTCTTCCTGGTGCTTGGCTGATTTTTGCTAACCTATTCCCTTTCCTGGATTACCTGGCCCCGTGGTACAAGGAAAGGACCTAGGTGGCATTCTTTGTGCAAGCCCACAGGAGGCCTGTTCCTTTCCTAATGGAGATGGAGGAGGAGTGGGTGGGGAGGGGGAGGATGGGAAAGGAGAGGGTATGGGAAGAGTGGAAGGAGGAAAAACTGGTTGGTAAGTAAAATAAATGAAAAAAAATTATTTCAATAAAAAACAAAGAAATACCATCTTCTCTCATTAGAAAACAAAACAAAACAAAAAACCCACTCCTGCAAAACAAACAAACAAACAAACAAACAAAAAACAAAAAACACCTGCTTGCTGCCTTCCCTTTAAGCCCCATCCCCAACCCACTTGCCCCTCTGGAGTAACAAATCTCCCTTGTGCTGAAAATTTGATATCTTAATAGGTCCTGTGCTGACTTCAGGGGTGGGGATTGTTCTCTCTTACACCGTCTCTGCCCTATACCTAATATAATGTAAACTCGACACCAATAAGTCTTATAACTGTTTAGAGAACAATGAGAAGGAAAACAAGTCTGCCTAGATGTACCTTTTTTTTCAAATATTTTTATTCTGTAAGTGTTTTAACCCAAGAATGCCTGAATCTATGATGATAGAACTGCAGGCACTGGAATTTGCAGCTATGCCAGGCTGACTGTTTTTATACACTGTACAAGCTTAAGAGATTTAGATTTGGGCCTCAGTGAGACTAACGCTACTCCATTCTCTTTTTAAGATGAAACTATTAGAGGGGAGTTTCGCTGTTCATGATGATTCAGTATGAAAGGATTTTACCTTGATACAGCCAGGCTAGAGACAAAGGCTGCCAGGAAGAAAAATGCAAGTCTCCATGATAGTATTTGAGGCTTCAGCTGCAGGTGCAGAGAAAATGACCTCTCTTTTTAGTTCCAATTAGTTTGAAAAGCAACCCCTCACTCTCTCTAGCTTAAATTAATTTGAGTTGATTTGTCTCACTTGGAAACAGAACAGGTTAAAATCAGCTCAGTCTGAGACAGTAAAACCGGAATGGCCCTTCAGGAGGCTGGAATAGCAGACAGATACAGATAAAGCTGAGTTTGTAACCAGGAGCTGTTCTTACTTACTGCTGCCATAACTAACTTATTCCTATCACATTTATTTTGAAAATGAATAATAAGAATTAGGAATTAAGAAAGGTAGCTTCTTTCCTGGTTCTTAGGACAAGATGCCTATGTTTGAACATTTTACTCTCTAGAAATAATATTTGAAAAAGGTCCTTGAGCATGTTTATTTGCTTGTTTGGGGAGCAAAATCATGTACTCGTTAGATCTTATGAGAATCTATAAAACACACACTTTATCAAGTTCTCTAAGGAACATTTTAGAAATATTTTGCTTTGCTTAGTGGGAGTCTGTCATGTAGTAGGATAAATATTTGTTGAACAAAGCTATTGAAATGTTCTGCCAAGGAAGCATAGCTGCAATCGTGTGATCAAAGACTATTTGTAGAACACAGGTATTTCCTAAATTTGGAGATCATCACAGCTTTATATATAAATATCTTCTGATGTCATGAACCTACAACGTATATAACATCCAGTCTTAGGTGCTGTCCCAGGTGGCTTTGGTTAAGTTGACATAAACTAGAGTTATCTGAGAAGAGAAACATTAAGAACCTGGCTGTAGAGTCAGGTGTCGTGGTGCATGCCTTTAACCCCAGCCCCTTGGGAGGCAGAGACAGGTTGATCTCTGTGACTTTTAGGCTAACCTGGTCTTCATAGTGACTTCCAGACAAGCAACCCATATGTAGTGAGACCTTGTCTGAAATATAACAACTACAACACAGAAACAAATAAACAAATAAACAAACAAACACAAGAAAATGTCTCATTCAGATTGGTTTGTATATATGTAGGGCATTTCCTTGATTAATGATTGACATGGGAACGCCCATCTCACTATATGAGATGAAGTCTTTGGTCAGGCTTCTAGGTGATATAAAAATAGCAAGCTGAGAAAGCCATGGAGAGAGAGCTGTTATATACCCTTTCTCCATGGTTTCAGCTTTGACTTCAATTCCTGTCTCTAGGTTCCTCTATTGAGTTCCTTCCCTGACTTCATTCAGTGATAGATTGTGATCTGGGAGTTATAAGGTAAAGTGACCTCTTTCTTCAAGTTGCTTCTGGTGGTGGTGCTATTCACAGCCATAGAAATCAAACTAAAACCAGTGGATTTATAGAGTTAATTTTCAACTGTATTTGTTTGTTAGAAGCCTTTATGGTACTACTATAGAATTTAGATTTTTTAGTAAAGCATGACTTGAACCTCCCAATAATGAGGAGTATTTGGTTAAACACAAAGGCAGCTCCATTTCCCAAACAAATGTCTCATACATTATATACAGTGGGAGTTCGTCAGGTTATTTCCCTCACCTTCAGTTTTTAGTTTGAGATGTTTTGTAACATCAATAAGTTATATTAATATATTGTGTTGATATTTACCATCCAAGGGATAGTATCAAAAGATAACTACAGTCAACATTAAGACATACCTTTAACATAATAAAAGTGTGCAATGCTTTTCCTTTATTGGTACAGGAACATTTTTCTTTGTAATGGAAATCCTAATGTGATGATGCTTTGGTTTTATTTTTTGTTTTTGAAGATGTTTTTAATAATATTTAACTGAAGAGTTCCATTTGGTTGCTTATAACAAAGCATGGATGGGGAAACAAGTAAACATAACTGGTACCAGGACTTTATTAAGCAATTTCACTAGCTACAAATGAACTTTTTTTTACATTAAGAACACAATTTTATATATAAAAAAATCACATCTTCTATACAGACTATAGGCATGGATTTTCACAATAGCACATATACTAAAGTATTAGTGAACAGATCCTAAAAAGAGAAGGCACAGTTCTGACTCCCTCTGGCAAATTCCTGGGGTTCGTGACAGAAACAGCAGCTCTACACATTCTCTCCCACCAGAAATGAAGCAAATCAACACAAATATGTACAGTCAGCCAAGATGGAAACATATTATGGGATTTAGTTTTCCTATTTTGCTTATAGGAATATCAAGAAAGGAGGTAGCTATCATGAATCTTCTAGAACTCCATCCATGTGCAGAGTATGAAGGACGCTGTGCTGGAAACACTGGGCATTATTTAATAATTTCAGCATGGTTCTTGTCTTTGAAAGCTGATTTCAGAACCACACTAGATCTCACATCTTATATTCACAGGTTTCCAGTTTCAGTTCATGAAAACTAGCTGTTCAATACAATCTGCTTCAGCAACTGTCTCTGGCATGGACTTTACCCCGGGAAGTCTTTCTGTCCCCACCTACTGCCCAGCATCATCCTCCAACATGGGAAGGAGGCCTCAGGACTAGACTGTATTTACTTTGGATTCTTTTCTCCCTCACTGAAGAGTTCCTTTCATTAAATCTTCTACAGAGATTACTACCTGTAATTCATAATGTAATTTTAAGGTGTTAATGATAGGGAGTGGGATGATGGGTTCATTTGACTTGTGTTTAAAGGAAAACACATCGAGTCTTAGAAGAAGCTCTGGTCTTGAGTTAGAAGGCTGTTCAACTTTCCAAGTGACGTTTTGATGTGTGCCATGTTTTTTTGTTGTCTCAATAACTGGGGAATACTATTTCCATAAATAATAGGTAGAGTCTAGTCCTCCAGCATGCCATTAGAGGAAAAAATTGAATTTGGTATCATTCATCTAGTGAAGATACACGTTTGATGTTTCAAATGACTTTGGGGATGGTTATTGAAACACATCCACAGACTTAGTGTGAATTAATATTTTCTTCATGAAAGAACCAAAACTACAGATTATATGAGTTGTGGTATGGAAGAGTGATCTCAGAGCTCACAGCAAGCCAGCTGAAAAAGATGTGGAGGCATTATGTGTAGTGATGCCAGAGTAAAGGAAGTAATGCAGAACATACTCATTTAAAATTGAACCTCGGGTAAATAAGAACATTAGTGTAAGCATTTCTAATGAACTATGTAGGAAACCAATAACTTATTACTTATTTGAGATTTGAATTTCAATGCTGTTCTGCATTTTAACTGGCAAATGTAATCATTAAAAAGAAACACCAAGAATGAAAGAAATTAGGAAACAATGTTCATAAACAGAGTCTAAGCTTAAAATAGATTACAGTTTTGCTACCAATATGACTACCTTTGTAGACTGGTTGGAAGTTTCCTCATGTGAATGGAATGTCTGTGATTCTCATAGATCTAAGGCAGTCCGTGTTATTTCATGACCAGAACTTCAAAATCAGTGGGTTAGAGATGGTTTTCCTTGGAGACTTTATCATTAAAGTAGAAATGACCTACTCTTACAAAATACTGTGTTGGAATTTTGGCGCTGGTTCTGAATCGGATGGAAATAAATGTGAATTTAGTCTTGTAGTATATAAACTAAATGATATTTGATACTTTCAAAAAGCATAACTGATGACAAAGCTGGACAGTAGGGTTGTGATAACTCAGCAACTTTCTAAAGCATATACTTCATAAGATTGCTTAAGTGACATCTTCAGAAGAAATAGGAATTTTGCTAATAAGTTAAATCCAAACTGCAGCAATTCAACCGAGCTAAAACAAAACAAAGCAAAAATGACAAGGAGTTAAGGCTAGTCATGATGTGCCCTTTTTCTTTAGGATAAGTTTGATTTTTAAGAAGATACAATGTAATTACACTTATCACTGACAATTTTGACTCATACAAATGTATGCTTAGAACTAACAACTACAAAATTGTATCACAAGTAAAATAAAAAATTACACAATTTTTACTTAATACTTTTTTGAACAAATTCTACAGAATATTTTATATCATCATTGGTAAAACAATTTGGAACATTATTTTAAACTGTACATTACACAGGAGTCACCAATAAGTTATGGCAAATGGAGCATTCACACCATGGTGTCACTGAAAACTAGTGAAAAAGACTAAAATATAGCAAAATAAAATTCTCTAGAGATCTTATTTAGTATCTCATGAGGGACAGACACTGTGTGTTATTATCTCTTAGCTGTTCAGGATGCGAGCACTTGACCTATTTATCTCCTCTTTGGTTGACAAACCAAAGACAAGTTAGGAGATTGTGTCACTAAGTATTTGTAAAACAGCAGAACTAAACACTAACAAAGACATGCATTTCCTGAGACTTCCAACTCTCGAGTCTGTGATTCTAACAGGTAGTTACCTGGTCAGGTAGCACTGCCAAAAAACACCTCAGAAATTTAGAGGACTCAAACAGCTTTGAGTGAAGATGTTTATGTGTTCAAACATTTGTATTCAAATTTGCATTAGATCATGTACCTTGAGGTTGATTGACAGTATAAATAGAGCACTACTGCCAGGTCAGTCTAGTTTCTAATGGTCTCATTTTTATTGGTTTTATAATGATTTTTCTCTTCTTAAATATTCAAACACTTGATCTATATTCAAGCCTGATAACAGGAAATATTGATTTCGAGAGTTAAAATGGCAATAAAATCAATTTGGCTGGTTGAGTGTAACTTCAAGTGTGTGTGTGTGTGTGGGTGTGTGTCTTCTTGCAAAATATTTTATGCTCTGATACATTCTCTGCTAGGAGGTGTTCTGTGAAATGCGAGTTTTCTAATATGGCCGAAAGTGAACATTGAGGTTACCATATAGAATCTCCTAATGCTTTGAAAGGATGCCTCCTCATTCTCTGTGCTCACTTGACTGTGTAATAAGGAGACAGAAATGGTAATGGCAGAAGTATTTGCTATGTTGGTCCTTCAGAGTAACTGAAAGGAAAACAAATGCAAAAATGATTTTATTGAGTATTTTCCCTCATTGCACTCATTCTTTGGATTTACTGTCATGGGTTGAGTAAAACTTAGATTTTAGTTTTTTTTTTTTTGGATTTGTAGGACTTGTAACATAGTGTCTTAAAGTGCCAGTAAAACATAAAATACATCAAGACATAGCTACACTTGATGTCTGTGTGTAACCCTTATGCTCCATGGTCTCTGGAAAGACAAAACAGAGCTAAGGGTCTGACTGGATTGCATATCATCATTTTTTTTATGAAAGGGCAACAGTTTGCTCCATGAGTGTGTTCCACAGCAGGGCCAGTGACCAGAAGACAGTCAAAGGTACCTTATCGCCATTCTCTCTTTCCAGAAATCTCTTGTAGTGATTTCTCTCATGGTTTATTTATATCTAAGTTCTTTTTTAGAAGTTAAGGCATGTCCATTTATCTCAGTGCCTACTACCTAGGAACTAACTATATATCCACATGGAAATTGTAAGTTTAGATTCAAAGTACCTCCTCTCTAACAAAGTTCTATGTGGACACCATTAAAGGCAACACCCACAAAACAGACAAAACCCCTCTGTCCTAGTTAAGAAATTTCATTCTAGTGCTTCAATACGTTTATTCTTCCCAGTACCCACATAGCAAATATCACAAAGTTGACTATGTGCAAACACTGTAAGGAAATATCCAAATCCAAGAAAACATGATACAGTACTTCTACATTGCATTCATTTTTTGTTAACAGATTGAGAATCTCTTTTTTGTCATATTGTAAGTTAAATAATTGTGTCATCGCAACTGTGGTTGGTTATAGATTCTCATGAGGCATCAAAATTGAGTAGTCAGAAAGCAAATTGATTCCAAAAGCAATTTTATGGGGCATAGTATCATTAATTGATTAAAGAGAGTTCTGATTCATCTGCACAAGATCAAGTAAAATAGACAGATAATAGACTTACAAAGGATAGATCAATGAGGAAGGAAAGTATACTTTGTGAACATTAAGTCCCAAGCTGTAATGTTTTTATCAAAATATTTTTATGATGAACTACTGCATTTTCAAATGTTTTGTAACATTTCTCTTACATTACTAAGGGATTTTTTTATTGGTTAGCGTTGAGCACAAAGGATTGCACAGGCTAATCTTAACAATGTCTTGATTCTCCTACTTGTCAAGTTCTGGGGTTATGGACATGTATTATGAGGCCTGGCTCTGGGAATTATTTACTAATATCAGTGTTTTTTTATTTGAAGACAATTATCCTATGTTTTCATATAATCTGTGAGTATTTGTATGTATCAGTATCAGCTTGCCTAAACCAGAGTATGTGTGTCAAAATACACACACACAACTGGAATTATAAACATATCTGCTGCATGCATAGGCATGCTGCTTATTTAAAAGGAGACCACATTTTTCATGAACATTCTATTCAGTATAGACAATTTCTATTCACTCTCTGTAGTTGTTAGAAAGTGCTGTTTACTAGTAAAGAATATCTACTCTCTAAGTCAATTCTTGGTTATTTATAATATTGAGATGTAAACTTTAAATCAACTCCTTATCTAGGTCACAGGGATTAACTCATATATCCTTCATTTTTATTAGTTAAAAGCCAAGGCCGTGCTTTTATTTCTCCAGGAGTCTGATATTTGTGGAAACGCATTGTACCAGGAAACGATTGAGGTTTGATTATTTCTATGTATGAACATAAAATAATTCATTATTTTAGGAACTTCTGCAATGGTCTGGAATTTTAATAATCCCTCACATTATTCCTCTGAAATTTAGGGAGAGGGGAATTATGCTCTTTGAAGATTGTTTTTGGAGCTTTCAAATACTACAAAGACACAAGAGGATCCAACATTTAAAAGTGTGTTAACATTGTTTTGCCTGGATTACTAAAAGTGATGCCACAGAAACTTTGTATGAGACTTCAGCTCCTTGGCCTTCTTGCCTGGGTCAGGATGGAACCCAGAATGCTAACTGAAGAATTTGTAAAGGAACTTTAGAGATTGTGGATATAGTCTCAAAAGCATTATTCTAACTCCCTTGGCATTCCTTCTTTTTCTTCTTTCTAAGTCATAAACATGAATAAAGATTCTTAAATTTTTTTGTAATATGAGTTTTATAATTATGCAATTGGAATTCCAATTTTATAGAAGAGTCTCATGATCACTCTTTTTGATTTTTTTTGGAAAATTAAAATTATGAAGAGAATTTTTATAGATTTAAAAGTTTTCTTCAGATTGCCACACAATTGTAGCTTGACATTTGCATGGCATTATTATTTAAACTACTGAATTAAGATAGTAGCTATCTCTGTATATAGCATTCTTCCTTTTAAAATATGGAGTTGATGCTCACAGTCTTTCCAAAGATCTTTGTGTGCAATAGTCATAGCTGTCTCACACAGAAATGTTCTGAAACACCATTGTTTCATTAGAACACAAAAGTCACTAATGACTGCCAATATTACTGATGTGGGGAAAGTGATTTGATGGGTATTTTCTATGAGCAAGAATTAGCTATGATCACCCAATTGTAGATGACTATGGAATATTTTATCAAGTCTCACAAAACAAACACATTTCAGTACAACAATGTAATATACATTATGTCGGGCATTCAATTGTTTTGAGACCCACATAGCATCTAATTAGAAAGAGCGAGCAAAAGAGGGGGAGCAGAAAGGATAGAACACTATGGATAGTATAGAAGCCCGAGATTGAAATTAGAAAATGCAATCAAGAGAACACTCATGAGTTACATATCACAGACATAAATTCTGAAAAGCAAAATTCACTGTTCTTTTCTATTCCTAACACTAGAAGTAGAGTTTTCTCACCAAATGGGAAATGACATATTTATAGTAATGCGGGATATGGTTACAATCACTGAAGACATGATTACCCTCTTTTCCTATTCACTGCCACTCCTAATTCCTTCAGAGACTCGGTGGAATAGGAAAAATCAGAGGGTGTGTTGATAATATGTCTAATACAATGAGGCTTCTCTATCTTACTCATGGACGCTCCAAAGAGTAATATCAAGTGTTGGCTTCTCCTTCATCAAAGACATAGTTCAGTTTTATGACAGTGCTGATAAAATCACCAAGTTCTACAAAATCGGCAGTGACAATATTGATGCCACTCTCTCCTGGCTTCTGGGTGCGGACCCACTGCATCATGGCAGGAAGAGCTCTGAGAAAGGAAACAAAAAGAGAGGTTAAATAAAGCATTGTGCATCATTCAGGGTCTATGGCTCTCTCATTGACTACATTAAATATCTCAAATACAATCCCAGGTGGTAGAAAACTATCAAATAAACTATAGTGTCTTCTTTAGTCTTTTTAAAATTTATTAATACTTCTATGCATGTGCATACATCACAATGTGCACGTGGAGGTCAGATGAAAACTTGTAGGAATTAGTTCCCTCCTTTCCACAGTGTGAATTCCGAGGATCAAACTCAATCTGTCATGCTTGATAGCAAATGCCTTTGCCTATTGTGCCATTATCCTGACCCTGAATTCTTGTGAATAAAGCCTGAATAAGAGATCTTACCATATTGGTCTGTACTAGACTCCAACTTTGGAGCTCTAAGACGCTGTTACAGTTTATAATGAATCTTCTGGATTTACATGCTATAATTTCATATCCTCAGAGCTCTGGGATGATGAGGTGAGAAATGAGTCTTTGTACTTAACAAATATTTATTACATATCCATTGTTTTGGGGGAAATGTATTAAGATGCTGTAAATAGTCACAAAGCAAATGTCTCTGTCTTCAAAAAGTTCCTGGCTCAGTGATAAGCAGGTGAGCAAAATGAAAGTTCCAGTATGTAGTGTAATCATTGCTCGTTTCTTCAAACCCTTTCACTGAGCACCTAGTGCTTACAAGTTCCCATTGTAAGCACTTGAAACAATCATGAGAGCAAAAGAGAAAAATATTAGCTTAAAGGGTCAGCTAGTTGACTCAGAAGTTAAGAGTGCTTGTAGCCAAGTCTGATGAGATAAGTTTGATACTTGGGACCACATAGGAGAAGGCAAGAACAGACTCGTGAGTATTGTGCTCTGACATGTGTTCTGCAGTGTATGTACCATCCCTCGAATATGTAATAAGTAGACAAATCAATGTAGTAAACTTATATTCTAATAAGTAAAGACATACAATAAATGAGAAACTTAAGTAAACTATTACATAGTGTTGTAATTTAAGGAAAGCAGCACATGAGAGAAAGACACCATGCGACAGAGTTCAAGAAGATTTTTTTTATTAGAGAAAAGGATCATAAAAAGGGTAGAAGGGGGAGAAATGCCTCCAGAGACAGGAGCAGCAGGAGAGAAAAGAGGAGGGAGAGAGAGAGAGAGAGAGACAGACAGACAGACAGACAGACAGACAGACAGACAGACAGACGGAGAGATGTGCATCCTAGGAATGTCAGAAGCTACAGCCACTAACATGACTACCTAAACATGAGCTGTACAAGGACAACACTAGGCATGCTAAAGCAGGTGGGGAAAGCCCACAAGGCCTCATCACTACACTAAGAACCACATCATTTTAAAATCACTACATCCCACCTATTGCGTCTATGGGCTCATGGAGAGTTCATAATTTTAAACATGTTCAGTCTAGCTTCAAAATCCCCATAGTCCTAAAAGGCAGGATCAATACCACTCAGAGGCAAACATCTCCTCTTGTACTCAAAACCATCTCTTAACTGAGCACTCTGGAAAAAATGCAAACAAGTAAGTTATATTCTCCCAACATTCAATGTCACAAAGTAGGCATTCCTACTAAAAAAATGAATGGATAGGAGGATATAAAGGAAGACCCAACTAAGGAAAACCAAAAATCCAACAGGGCAAACAGCGTACCTAGCCACTCTGTCAAACATCTGAATACATGTAGCCTTCCCTGGACCCTGCTTCACTCCCTGACTTCCTTGGCAGATATCCAACAGTCCTGGAATGTCCAGCATCCTGAGTTATCCATTGTGACTTACACTTCAGCTAACAGCTTCTTCTAACATCCTCTGAAGACCTTGTGGAGAATTATATTTTGTCACAGTTTTGTATCCTTTGCAGCTTTCTGGAGCCTCATTTCAAACGTTCCAGCCCGCATCCCTTTTGCATTTTGAATGCTTGTAAAAGCAGCACTGATGCTGATGCTGCCAAATTCTCCTGCCAGGTCAAAGTGTAGTCTGACCCTTTTACCATACCTGTAAAGGTCTCTGAAAACTGTAGTGGCTGAACTTTGGGGAAATTTTTCCTAAATGGTTGTTTTGGAGAAGAGAATACCTTTGGTGGTATAGTTAGTTTGGTCTTTCTCCTCTCCAATGAAGTTTCTTGTTTTGTGTGTTTGTTTGAAATCTAGGGCCTTTGTTGGATGGTATCTTGCCCTCGAGACAACTCCCTACTCCTGTATCCGAAATGCAAGTTTTCGCTTTAATTGCTTCCTTTTTAGTGTAAAACTAGTTAAGTTCAGTGAGCAGTAGCCACACCACAGCTTGAAAGCTATGTTGTTTAGAAATATCTACCACAGTGTTGACAAAAAGAAAAGCACATAGACAGTGGAGCAGAATATCAGAAATCAAGTTGTGTATCTGCAGCAACTGACTTTCAAAATGGTGCAAAGGATGTGAGTTGGAGAAAAGATGGACTTTTCAATCAGTGGTTCTAAAAACTGAGTCTTCACAAGCAGAAGAATGAAGTCAGATCTCTATCACTCCATTGTTACATAAAAGTTAAAAATGAAAACATAGCTTGTAACTATGATACCGCTAGAATAGAATATAGTTGGACCATTTCAAGACATCAGAACATAGAGCTTTCAGAAATGAGATCACATCTTTCCTTTTTCACAAGAGAAAATAGAAAAATAGGACTAAATAAAACTTAAAGGCTCTCCACTGCTAAGAAAACAGCCTACAAAACAGAGTCAACCTACAGAACAGGAGAATATGCTTATACTGTGTGTTATTAACAGTTGATTTGCATGAAGAACCCAGACTGCTCAGTAGAAAAAAAAACAAATAAAATGTCTCACCCAACAAATAATCTGCTCTAAAATTGGACAGTAAACTAAATATACATTTCTCGAAAAGAAAAGAAAAGAAAAGAAAAGAAAAGAAAAGAAAAGAAAAGAAAAGAAGAAAACTGTAGCCAGGAGGTGGTGGTGCAGGCCTTTCATCCCAGCAATGGAGAGGAAGAGGCAGGCCGGTCTCTGTGAGTTCATAGTCTGGGGTCTAGAAGAGCTAAAATCCAGGCGCTGGCAGTTTTGGAGGGTAGTGGGGACTCACTCCTTCAGAGAACTCTCTGGTTTTTGTTTAAAATTGCTATTTATTTTTTTGTTATGAAGTATCCTTTCATTCTCTATCCATCACTTAGTCAGTTCACTAATCTTTTAGAGGAAAGTTTAAATGACATTTCTTCAAAACAGTAGTCAGAAGCCAATGTGCTTACACTGTTAATTGGTGACAAATGTCTGCCCCTTACAAAACTGCAAGCATTTTGAGCATGAGGACTGTTTTCACACTGCATCATTCCTGGTGCTTCACACAGCGTCTGGTGTGAATGGGCAATCAATAAGAATTTGATAAACACGCAAACAGGTTTTAGGAACAAAAGATCTGCTTCTGGAAGTGTAGGCAGAAGCCAGCCCAGGAAGCCACTGCTCAGTTCCCTAATGGCTACTGTCATAAGAACTTCTGATTCATTGCGCTTTTGTGGGAATAAAAGTGATGTTAAGAAATTTGCAGTTAAGGATTTTGCAGTTTCTCTTCTTAGCAGGTCTTGTATGCAAATTTTCTAACTGATCAGTCAACTTTACAGTGCCTTCCCCCACCTACAGGATGGGCCAAGTGACTCTGTATGATAATGAAGGTTGTGATTATCACCTTCCCTTTAAGTATGATGCTTATTAATTATTTCTGTCAATTTCTCAAATACATTTAGCATATTGATTATACTTACTAATTATCAGTATTTGTACTTAACTAGAATTTAATTCATTAGAAATGTATTAGGAGTCCACATTGAATTCATATTCAAGGATATATGCATGTGTGTGGTACACTTTCCCAACTCTATTTTATACATGGTACTTCAATGATTCCTCTAAACTGCTGTATTTTATGGCTATGAATAATTAATTATGGATAATAAAGCCATATTCATTTGAATGTTTCATCAATGCTTCCTTTGCTGAATGACATGAGTTTCCTAAGACAGTGATTGATTTTTATAGGATCTTCAATACCCTGGAGACCAACTTCTGTGAACACTGACCATGTCAGCGTCCTTTACTGTCTGCTGGTCTCAGCCTCTCCTTGTAGCTCGAGGCCAATCCTCAGAGTTTAAAACAATGCCAGGTTTCCATCTCTTAACTAAAATTAATTCTAAACATTTTAAATGTGATTTCCTGTCAATTTGACCAGATCTAAAGGTTTGGAAATTTCATTTCAACTGTAAAGAGCAGAACAATAAAGCAAAAGGCACTCTTGGCTGAAAGCTGGCACTCCATGCATGGAGACACATGGTAGTTCACAGAGAGACCTCATATCTGCAGGTTAAACAATAGTGGGCTTTGCAAATACTCTTGGGTAAACAGGTGTATCTCATAAATCATAAAATCCACAAACTCAGGCTCTCTCTCTTCTCCTCTTTCCCCCTTACACACACACACACACACACACACACACACACACACACACACCACAGATACACACATTCACACACAAGGTTGGAAGTACATATCTGATTAAAGCTTGATAAAACAACGGATTTAAGTTATTTCCCTAAAACTGCATTCTAAGAAAAATTGAATAGTTTAAGCATGGCTTTTCCTTCCAGTCCATTCACTGAGTGCCTAGTACTTCCAAGTTCCCACTGTAAGCACATGAGACATTCACGAGAATACAAGAGAAAATGTATTAGCTTATGGTGTCAGCTAGTTGGCTGAGCAGTTACGAGTGCTTGTTGCCAAGTCTAGTGACGTAAATTTGATCTTTGTCCTGGTGAAGACTATCCATATCAACTGGGAAATGTAGAATGGGGAGAAATTGTATTCTGGTCCCAATTAACCTCAGTTGTAAAATAGAAATGACAATACCCTGAGTTTTGCACACACTCACAGCCTCAAGGGATTAGGTCCTTGATAGTGCACCTCAAATGCATTTTACATTTGTCAACATGCT